GAGAAGTGATGGTAGTTTCACTAAGTTTGATGCCACGTCAGAGAAGCTGACCAAGGTGAACCTGGGATTCCCGGGCGTCGAGTTCAAGAAAAAGGGGCCAAACCCTCTTTTCTCGACTCGCCACAATCCCGCTACATCAACTACAATGCAGTCGAGAGTGGGTCAAAAGTGAGTTGCATACGTTCGCAATATAGAATATTCGCACTCCTGTGAAAAGAGGTCGCTCTAATCCCACAGTGGTATTCTCATCTGTCTTCTTCACTCATCGTGGTGACATTATGGATACCATGGCACAGTGTTGAGAGGCCGATCAGGAGATGTCGGTACTTGATTCTAACGCGCGCTCGCTCAGACTCCAAGCTGAACGGTTTGGAGTACGAGGACTGGTGACAGAGAAACGCCAAACTCAGCATGCCGAGTGAGTGGTGGTTCGTCCCTTTCAGAACTACTCTGTGACTCGAGAGCTTCGACTCGAGAGATAGAGTGACTGAGTCTGCTTCTGGTGTGTTGGATCATTCTTCGCTCGTGACAATTTGGTTCCAGGCCTCCTACTAAGTTCGACACTGATCGCCTCAGGAAGGCATTCGATGCTTGTGATTTCGATCTCTCCGGTGTCCTAACCAAAGTGGGTGCATCTCATTCTCCCCATTTAAGTGCTTCGTGACTTCAGGATAAAATCCGCCATGTACTCGCCCTGCTTGGCGAAGTGGTTGACGAAGCCATCCTAGAAACCATGCTAGGTGACGATATGACTGACTATTCGTGGAACCTAAGTTCTATTTCAAGAAATGGCGGATTGTGATGGCGATGGGCGAATAACGTGGGACGACTTTGCCACACTGTTTCAAAATCCGACGGAAGCGTTCCAGCGTGCGGATGCCAGAGATGACTTGATTCGGCTGGAAAGTAAAGACCTCGAGCGGCATCAACTGGAGCGGAGAAAGCAACAGGAAGAGCTGATATTGCCTATCCAGGAGGGGAAGATGGCTCACACAGATGAGATTGGGCTCCTTGGTAACGTATCGTGATAGCGGACTCAGTCCGCCGGACTGTAACACTCACGGGAAATAAGTTGTTCCTGGCCGAGGAACCGCTATTGGCATTCACACGAGCAAAGCCGCTCGATCTCAGACATATTCACTCGATTAACCGGATCTACGTCAATACAGCCGAGCGACCTAAAGCACATGTACAAGCTATTCAAAGAGATTGATACGGTGGGTACTTGGTTGTTTGTGTGGTTATTGATGTAAGACGAATCCTCTTAAATAGAATATACTTATCGATTACTGTATGCGCATCCAACACATACAGTTCAGTTCCTTCAAAGTATTCCTGAAAACTTGCGAACCACATTATGTATTTCACGTCAATGAATGAAACGAGTTCGTGACACAGAGACCAAACGGTGAACCGTAGATGGGTTGCTTACAACACTGCTTCAAGACAGTGCCTTCATAACGCTCAGGAAAAATCGGGGGAGCTGGGCTTGGACAAGTTTACGCGAATGTTCCCTGGGCAAGATGCTGCTTTGATTGAACGTATGTTCGACCTGTTCGATACGGATGGTAGCGGCATCATCGAATTGAGGAAGTTTATCATTGGTACGTGCCAGATATTCGAGCACTTACTAGTGACTTCCTTCTAGTCTCGCCAGAGCTTTGATGATTTTCGACTTTCTTGTGAGATGGGAAACGGCGTTTGTTGCGTCTTGACAGGTTTATCGAACGTCTCGAGCATTTCGACTGTCGAGAAAGTGAAACTCGCCTTCAGCTTGTATGATTTGGGCAACTCGGGCTCGCTGGAATACGCTGAAGTCCTGCAGCTGCTCATTGCTGCACAGGCCGGAATAGGGCCAATCAGCGACTCAGATGTTCGCACTCGGGTGGGTTATGCGTGTGCCTACGATAAGTCCAGTTCTTTCGGGGACGATTTTCGGGCATTCCGATAGGCCCACGAGGTCTACGCCAATCTGGGAA